GGAGATGGGAGMAAGAGCGTTAGCTGTGGAGAGCAGCGAGGCCGATCGGGGTGGCTGTGTCCGGCGGAGCATCCATTCGGATGATGGGCTCTGCAGAAGCCGTGCGCATGACAGGGCAGTGGAGGGGCCACCAAGGCTGTGGGCACTGGGACATGACCCCTATGGAGCTCGGGAGAGGGCAGCAGGAGACGCTGCGCTCAGCCCCGTTCCGGGCAGGGGCAGCATGGGGAGCCCTTCGGCCCCGGGCATGTGGAGTGRGTGAGGACGCTCAGGGCAGGGCGGGAAGCAGGGAAGCATCCACTGACATTCCTGCGGGCACGGGCAGCGAGCGAGAGGGACGAAGGGAATTCTCATCAGGAGGCAGCAAGCAGGCGGAGCAGAAAACACGGGCCGGTTCCTGGCGCTAGCAGGAACCAGCGGCRTGTCCGAGCCGCGCGGGACGTGTGGCGGGGCGGCCACGCGCCACCACCCGCTGTCCTGGCCCGGGGCGACCCGCGGCAAAGGCAGGGCCGCCCTCCGTGTCCTGTCGCTTCCTTCCCGCAGCCTCCCTTCCCGCAGCCTCCCGCCCTGGGCATGGCCCCTCCTTTTTCCCCGCCGTCTGTGCCACCCAGGGCTTCCTTTCCAAGTTTTCTCACACCCTTTCATGGCTGCGCCCAGGGAAGCTTCCACTCCGCAAATCCCGGGGACTGGATAAGCAAGAGGGATGTCTTTAACACAGGAGCCGGGCTGGGGCTCAGCCTGAGGGGCCCGGGGGGCTCTGCTGATGCCCCACGYGAAGGAGAGCAGCCGCAGAGCTGGACGTGAGACAGGCTCAGCCTTTCCATAAGCTGCTGTTTCCCTGCTGAGGGCAGCCCCTCGTGGACGCCCTGAGCGGGGGTGTCAGGGAGTGTTTGCAGAGGAGCTTGGTTGTGTTTCTGCAGCAGAAACGCACAGGTCGGTGCCCGAGGCTGGACRAAGGCTCCATGCAGACCCCTTTGGCCTGAGCTCCGGTTCCCCATGCACGGTGGGAAGCACTGCTGCTGAACAGGAGCTGCCTGCTGAATTATTTAGCTGCACAACCCYGGGAGCAGCAACAACGGCAAGAGCTTCAACCGGCGGCTGCCTCTGCTGGGAAACAAATGCGGCCACCGCAAACTCCCCGGAGCCCACGCGCGCAAACCCCCTCGGAGGCTGCGGTGTAGAAAGCRTTTATCGGTACCTGGCTGGTGCGGGGCTCCCGGTGGGGGATAATCCCTCAGCAGCTGCCACCTGTTGGTTTGTAGCTAGGCAAGCAAAATCCTGCCCTTCTTTGCACGAGAGGGTGAAGTTATTGAGCTGCAGGATGCCCACATTGATGGCCGGGGTCACTCTGAGCTGTGTGAGTTGCGGGATCAGGCCAGGAYCACACCGGGCCCATAGCAGGAGCAAGATATGGTGCACGCCGGGCCCTGAGTCCCGAGTGCCCTTGGCCCGTGGGTCCCCGGAGCAGAGCGGGTCGCTGCAGGGATCACGGGCCTGGGCTTCCCTGTCCGCGGCGGGCAGAGCACGGAGCGCGGGACGGTCGGGAGCAGAGCGAGCAGGAGCGGGGTGCCTGGGCGCCCCTTGGCTTCTGTAGGGATGTGGCCAAGGAGACTTTGGGGAGGGCTGCAGAGCAGGGTGGTAACGGGCGGGAGAAAGAGGAGCTGCTTGATGTGGTAAGGAAGGGGAGTGCGGATGATGACTCTGTGAAAACATCCAGCTGGGAAAATGGTCTGGATCGGATCTCCTTGAGGATCATTCAGAAGATATACCAGGTGGATCTCATGGTCTGGGGCTGTTGCTCCTCTGGAAAAACAAGGTGCCAGACACATTGAAGACTTCATCCCTGGTGCTTTTCCGGGCCCGCCACCGCCTGGGCTCCCGTCTAACTCCGTGCGAGGCCGGGGAGGTTTGTTGCTCTGCCCATGGTTACTGTGAGCACCCGCGAGCCTCTTGACCCTGTGTAAGCACCAGCGGGATCCAGCGCTGGGGTTCAAACCCCCTCTGGATGCATCTCCAAGAAGATTAATCTTGCTGATGGAAGCTGGGCCTGTGACAGCCRGGACTTTGAAGGCTCTGTCCTTCTCCATACCAAATAAACCAGTGAGATCTGCAAGGCTCAGGACTTCCTGAGCTAGTGATGTATAAAGCAAAACAGTTATAATTAACCTTAAGGTGTGAAAGAATTCCTTTCTTTCAAGCAAAAAAAAATCTTTCCTCTCTAGGCTTGGATCAAAAGTGAGTGATTTTTTTTTCCATGCCACATTAGCTGTGCCCTTATTTTTTTGAAAAAAAAAAAAGAGATAATCTAAAAAGATCCAAGTTGTGATATGTAACTTTTAATGATGTTCCCAGTGTCAGGGGAACCGTGTGGTTCCTTCCCGTGGGGACCCCACTCGGAGCCACCGTGCTCAGGGACGGGGCTCCTGTCGCGGTGTCTGCCGCCGTCACTTAGTGCAACGCCTAATGGGGCTGTTTCGTTAGACATGCCAAGAARGCAGCACGAAGCACCGGGGGTAGCTCCCAGGGCAGAGCGCGGCCCGCCGGCTCCTCGGACACCCAGTCCGTGCCGCCGCGGAGCCATCGGCACAACCGGGATTGGGGCCGAAGGGAAGGAGCTGGCAGCGCTGTCCCGGCTCCGCTCGGGGTGTTCCTGCCCTCGGCCTCGCAGCAGAGCSCGCGGCCCGGGAAGGCAGCGACAGGCCAACGCAGAGGGTTTCCTCTGCTTTCTCACGAGCTCTCCCAGCTCTTGGAGCCATTCCTTTCATAAGGAACATCCTGAACCCTGCAGGGCCGTCCTTGCTCCGCAGGGTTGAAGCCATCGCAGTTGGCAAAGGGAAGATCTGGGCACTGGGTAGTGCCCGGCGTTCCTCTTGTCCATGGCCCTTTCCATGGTTACCTTTTGCTTTCGACCCTCGTTAGAGCTCTTCTCCGGAGAGCGGGAGGTAAGAACGACTGCTCGGTTATAGGGAACGTGGGCAATTCAGGCAGGGCGTTTCAAAAGGCCGCTTGGGCTGATAGCGGCATGAGCTGCCTCCTTGGGACTAATCCCGCTGTTCCTCTAATCCCGGGGCACCTGGTGCCTCCCACCACAGACCAGGACCCCATGAGCCCTGGCGACTTCCAAAGCCAACCAGGATTCTCCATTTTGGCAGTGAATAATCTACCCGCATCCCGGCAACAAGAGCAGCAACGTTTTATCTAAAGGCCCGTTCCCGAGGTCCGAAGGCTGCACAGGCTTCCACYGGCAGAGGAGAGGGCAGAGCAGGAAGCTTCGCCGCCACCAAGGCTCCGAGGCAGAGAAGTCATTTGTTTAAGTCATGGGAATTCTGGATGGAAACGCCCCRGGCTTTTGGAACCCCTAGGGCTTGCCGCTCGCACTGCAACAATTAAAAGTTTGGGATATTTAGCAAACTCTGCATAGCTGTTTTTCCTCTTTCATAGTTCCAGCATACCTTTTAATTAATTCCCTTTAATTGCTTTTAATTTCCTTTCCTCCCGGTTTCTCCCTCAGTAAAATGAGGGCTGTCATCCTTTCAGTTTGCCTTTCATGTTGCAGACTCTGCGTTTGATTGTGTTTCACCCACGTCATGTCTCGCAGCTATTTAATTCCTGGAAAGCTCCAGCCCCGCAGCTAGAATCCAAGTGGCATCAGCGACGCCGAAAGGATCGCGCGCTCTGTGCCCTTCTCGTAATGCCACGCATAAACAAAGCGGAGCAAAAGCTCCGTCCTCACTTGGAAAGGGCCATTTTCCATCACCTGTGTTTTCATGGTACCGTCATAACGCGGATGTTCCTGGTCCAGAGTGACAAGATAAAAAGCCTCCTGCTGTCTAATCCCCGCAGCCTTTGGAGGCTGGGAAAGGGCTGCAAGCGCCGAAACGGCAGCCTTGGGACGCTGAAATTCCCCTTTTCTGGCAGGCAAGAACGGTGCCCGTCCTTACGAGACGCTGATGTTTGTTGCTGCGTGCTCGTGTCCAGCGGGTGCTCAAGGGCTCCGTGTGTTTCGGTGGAGGCGCTTTGCAGCCCGGGTGAAAATAAAAGGCGAAAGCGAGAGGGAGCGCGGATGGAGCGGGATCGGCATCCCGGCGCTYGCTGTAGCACCAGGGCATTTGGGACAGCGGGTCGGGGGGGAGTCAYGGGTTTAGGTTTCCTAACCCTCTTGGTCCAGAGAGAACAGCTGTTATTTTTTCTGATTTATTTCTTTTTTGCTGCTGCTTCTCCAGTCCCAGGGGTATTTGAGCAGCACAGCTACCCCCGTGCTTTCCATGGGCCGAAACTACCCATGCAAACACCCTGCTCACCCGTTTCCTCCCCTCTGGAGCATTTACAATCCCGGGGGCGGCTGCAGGACCCATCTCAGAGGCCCGTCCTGGCACAGCCCGGGTCTCTCCGGGGCCACCTCTTTTCCTTTCCGCACAGGAGCTGGGCGCCATTCCAGCCGTGCCATTCCCGCATCCCACGGCTCCCCCCAGATAGCGGCGCGCAGGGGTTGCCAAGGTCCTCCCGTTGCTATAGCAAGAGGAGAGAGGGCAGGGAGGCGCGGAGACACGYGTGCCGCTTCGCCCAGAGCCTTTCCTGCTGATTGCACCTGAAGCCCACGCTACCTATTTGGGGGAAATTAATAGTTAACAGCCTTAAAAATAAGTATCAGTATTGAGGTAATCGCCCCTTGAATTGGCTGAAGCATCCCTCTGGCTGGAGTGAATGCACAGCACTAACTGGGATATTAAAATATTTATCTTCATAAGGGCACCACTGCCGCCATTCTCCTCCTCGCTGGGTAATTAGCAGGAGGCTCGTTAGGCCAATCAGCGGGTGCTGGCGAGCTGCAGCTTTGCCTCCCTGGGCGTGGCGAGGGGGGTGACTTATTAAATGAATTTGAGCAGGGTGGATGTGGCCAGCCCTGGCTGTGGAGCTGCTCTGGAGGAGGAGAGGCCAAGGCTGGAGGTGTGAGGGCTGTGACACGGCTGCCTCTTGCTCAGTTTGGGATGTGCTCCACAGAAACTGCTGCCTTCCCGCTGCCGGGTCGGCAGTGTCGCCCTGTGGCAGGTAGTTTTTACTCTAATTTTCTTGRTGTGTCTGGGGAGTTGAGGTTTTCCCTTTTGCTGGTGTTGAAGGTGGGATTTCCTGGGCGTAGGAGTGTGAGGTGTTGTGGGCAGGCCCTGGGCCCTGCCCCTGGGCCCTCCTGGATATTTAAGCTACTGTTTTTGAGGCAATAAAGCTGAAGCCAGGGGCATGCRGTATTAAATGTGCTGGTATGAAGGCCCCAGAGAGCTGCCCCTGAGGGTCTGCAGAGCCCRTGTGTGGGTTGGGTGGCAGGTTTAGACACCGGCAGCATCTGGGGACCCAAGGCTGTGTTTTGTGGGTGCTTTGGGTGCTGTCTGGGCTGGCCCTGCTAGTGGGAAGCTGCTCTGCTCAGGCTCCCTGTYCCGAGATGCTGAGTGCTGCAGTTGGTGTCCTGAATGTCCCAGCACAGGGAATGACCCCACGGAGACATGGCAGGAAAATCATGAGGGAAGAGCTGGGGCTTGGGATGTGCAGGATCCCCATGCCCTGTGGGCTGGGAACAGACAAGTGGAAGATCCAGGTGCTGCCATGCTTGTGGCTGGGGAAGATCTGCTTTCCCACCCTTTCTGGTCCTCTCCATACCGAGTGTTGACACGTTTTTTCCTAGCTCTGTCCTGMCTCAATGCACTTGGCATTGAGCGGTGACGGGAAAAGGGCCCGGAGCGCGCCCGGCRCTAATGCCCTGCAGGGCACGGATTAAAAGGTTCTGTCCTCTTGGTAAAYGTCGTGCCCTGTGTCGTGCAATGAGGGGTGATGTTTGTGTGASTGTGTGCCCCGCTCTGTGCTGATTCCCGTGGGAATCCAGGCACTTGAGTGGCAGCAGGATCTAGCCCCCACTTCTGGGAAGTTTCGTTAGCTTCTTCCTTCCCTCTTCCTGCAGATGGTTTCCGCTGCCGCCTCTTGCGTTGCAGCTGTCACAACAAACCTATTTGATTTAAAATCAYGTGGAAATCTTGATGAAGCAGCTTTTGCTTTAAGGTGACGCAGGTCGTGACCCTGATTCCGGGTGGGCAGCGCGCTCGGATGGGTGGGCAGGAGCCTGGCCGAACCCAGAGGACTGGTCCCAGTCCCTGAAACCTGGACTGGTTTCAGGATGCCCTGAAACCAGCCGTGTGCCTGCAGGATACAGAAGGGAGGCAGGGAGAGGGGTGAGGATGTAAACCYGGAGCCTTGGAGCATTTCTGCTTGTTGGGACATGCAAGTGCTTTGAGCCCCACTGTGCTCGTGTTGCCCGGGACGGGTRAGCAGGGCCCCATGAGCCACGTCTGGCCACCAAAGCTCCATCCTGTCCCTCCTAACTGCGGAGAAATTGGTCCGTGGCACCCTGGCGCCCCAAGCAGAGCCCATCARTGGGATGGGAGCGAGAGCAGGGGCTCGGCAGCCCTCCAACCTCAGCCCCAGAGCTCCTGCTTATCCAAAGCCTGCGTTTCCCAGGGAATTTGCATGCCCAAGACCTGCTTCACAGCACTTGTAGGTGTTTTTTAATCCACTGGAGCCCTGGGCAAGGCCTGTGTGTGACTCGGAGGGTAACCAGCATTTGCCCGTGCTCACCTGATGCACTGGCTGAAAACGAGCGCAGAATAATGCGYTCACAGAGGAACCTTAGGGGGCCTGCAGCAAAACGCCCGTGGCCTGCGCTGTGCAGGTTGTGTAACGTGGCCTCGTGCAGCTTGCACAAAGTATCTGCAGGGTTCAAGCTAGCAGATAGCTTGTAATTCCCCTTCTCAAATACAGGAGACCCTGAAGTTTGTTCTTTTGACCTTTGCAAAATTAATGGAAGGCACTGATGGATTTGCATGGGTGGGATAAATGAGCTGGAAGGAAAGGAGTCAGTGAGATTGTGAAAAGGCAATGAAAAGGAACGCGGGGAAGCTTAGACTGCAGTAATAGTTAACTCAAACTATAGCCAAAGAGTGTCCACCCTGAGCACGAGCTGAGCTGAGCCCTGCTGCTCCCCCGTGTCTGCTGGTGCCGATGGGAACAGCCCTAGAAAGAGGAGCCGCAGCGTTAGGAGGAGACCTGCGCCAAACCGGSGTGTTGCTCATGTCTGCTAATGAGGAGAAAGGAAGAATGCAGGGATGAGATCCAGCTACCCCATGGACGGGTTGATATTTGGGACAAAAAGGGGTTGGATTAATGCAAAGTGATTCATCTCTGAGGAGCCCTTCTCCCTTTCCCTTCAAATCCTTCTTCCAGTGTCCGTTTCCTCCACAGAGATCCTGTTTCCATCTTCCCCCTAGAATTCCTGTCAAGAATTTAATGCTTGCAATAGCTATAAGTATTAGCGGGGCTCTTCAAATCGCCTCTGAGTGTTTCTGCAAGCAGCAGGCGCTGCAAACGTTGGCCCGGAGGAGGCTGCTGTCTCAGAGCAGGGTTTTTCACAGCTACTTGCAGGAAGTGCCTGGTTGCTGGAGGTCAGAGCAGCATTAAAAGCAACCTGGATGGTTTTCCCCTCACCGATGGGTTCCTCCAACCCATCTCCAAGAGTTGTCTCGGTTTAGGACAGTCCACGGGACTGCAGCTTTCAGCCCTGCTGGTGTTTGATGTGGTGCAGGTCACCTCACCAGGCAGCAGTCCCAGTCCTGCTCTCCCTTACAAGGGTGCAGCTGCTGGGAGCACTGCCCGTGTGCGGTCATGGAGGAGCCTTCGCTGTTTTCATAGAATCATAGAATGCCGAAGGTTGGAAGGGACCTCAGAGGTCATCGAGTCCAACCSCCCTGCTCACGCAGGGTCACCTAGAGCACGTGGCACAGGGCTGCATCCAAGCGGGTTTTAAAGATCTCCAAAGAAGGAGACTCCACAACCTCTCTGGGCAGCCTGTTCCAGTGCTTTGTCACCCGCACAGTGAAGAAATGCTTCCTTAAGTTCCTGTGGAACTTCCGATGCTTCAGTTTGAAGCCATTTCCTCTAGTCCTATCCCTGTCCACCACTGAAAAGAGGCCACCCCCTCCTCCTCACTGCCTCCCTTGAGGTATTTATACACGCTGATCAGGTCCCCCCTCAGCCTCCTCTTCTCCAGGCTGAACAGGCCCAGCTCTCTCAGCCTTTGCTCATAGGGCAGATGTTCCAGGCCCCTGATCATCCTGGTAGCCCTGCGCTGGACTCTCTCCAGCAGCTCCACATCCCTCTTGTMCTGGGGAGCCCAGAACTGGACGCAGTACTCCAGATGTGGCCTCACCAGGGCTGAGTAGAGGGGGATGATCACTTCCCTCGACCTGCTGGAGACGCTCTTCTTAATGCACCCCAGGATCCCGTTGGCCTTCCTGGCCACCAGGGCACACTGCTGCCTCATGGTCAACTTGTCGTCCACCATGACACCCAGGTCCCTCTCTGCGGGGCTGCTCTCCAGCAGGTCCACTCCTAATCTGTACTGGTGTCCAGGGYTMTTCCTCCCCAAGTGCAGGACCYTGCACTTGCCCTTGTTGAACCTCATGAGGTTTCTCGCCGCCCAGTCCTCCAGTCTATCCAGGTCCCTCTGGATGGCAGCACAGCCCTCAGGGCTATCAGCTACTCCACCCAGTTTGGTATCGTCGGCAAACTTGCTGAGGGAGCACTCCAGCCCTTCATCCAGAATCCAGAAGTTTTCAATCACTTATTCCAAGCATAATTCCCGCACTGCCCTGGGTCACATCAGGAGCTGCAGAGCCAGGTGCCTCGTGTCCCTCCTTGRCACTGTTGACAGGCAGTGATGCCAGCTGGGCCTCAGGGAACCAGCTACAGAATCCCAGGATGGTTGAGGTTGGAAGGAACCCCTCAATCATCCAGTCCAACCCCCTCCTCCAGCAGGGACACCCAGAGCTCGGGGCACCCGGTCCCATCCCGGCGGGTTGGCAGATCTGCAGAGCAGGAGCCTCCGCAGCCTCCCTGGGCAGCCTGGGCCAGGGCTGGGCACCCTCACCCCAAACAAGCTCTTCCTCACGGGCACATGGAGCTGCCTGCGCTGCAACTGGCACCCACTGCCCCTTGTTCTTTCATTGACTTCCCTGCTATCCAGCAGCACTCTTAAATAGAGGCTTTTCTGAGCAGCCCTTTGCCCCCAGATKTGGGAGCACTGCAGCAGGGGACTTATCAAAGCCCAGAGGATCCCCACAGCAAGTCCCTAGGGACACCCCCTGCTCAAGAAGAGGAGACCAGGGCAAATCCCGATGCATCCTCTGATGTGGTGTTGGGATGCACAGAGCCCGTCGCTCCCGTGTGTCCCTCCTGCTGAACCTGCAGGGATCGATGCCTCCTGGTTCCAAGGACATCTCGGGCACCTTCCTGCCACTGAGAGTGACATCAAGGAGAAGAGCCAGGGAGAGCTGGGGGCTCCACTTTGTTTCACCGCATGCATTTCTCCTTGCTTGTTTGTTTTCCTCTTTAAACCCATTACAACCTAACAAATGCACTTGTGTTTGAAATTTTCTGACAGTTTCTTCATTAGAGCTAATTGCTCTTAATCATCATCAGCACCAAGCACTTCAGCTAGGGCTCTTCCCACACAGGACTCGCCCAAACGCTAAGCTCACGTCTTGCTGCCCAAATGCCACGTTAGGACCGGCAGCTTGAGTGGACGGTTTGCTGCTTTGCAGGCTCCAGCACTGCAACCTGGGCAGGTTTAGTGACCAGTTGTGGATGCCAGGAGGAAATGAGGCCTTGGAGCACAGGCAGGAGCCAAGAGCACAGCAAATATCAAAATCTTTCCAACAAGTAATCGTATTTTGAACTTAACCTTCTATGCATGCCAGCTCTCCATCTCACTTCTGCTCACGTCCTTTCAGATTTAGTGTTGGAATAAGTATGCAGTTTAAGCAGCAAAGGCCAGCTCAGCATACAGCTTAAAGGAAGGACCTCGCATGACATTAGATGTCAGAGTACCCCAGACTACCCAGTCTCCAGGCACAGCTCAGGGAGAACCATTGGAAGCCCATCCTGCCTGGCTCTCCTCCCTGACCACCATCTCCCCTGGGGATGGAAGGAGCTGGGACACTGATCCAAGGAGC